GGCAGCACAGACAGAATCTACCACTAGGCGAGCAACGGGGGAGGGGGGGGCAAGCTACACTGACAACAGACGGGGGAGGGTCGGGAAGGCCAGCTGTTCATGGGGGGGACACGGGTAAAGTGCTTCTGTGGCTGCCCCTGGCCCTCCCGCCAGCCGGCCGCCTCCCTCCGAGGCCGCTTCCCGGGCCCTTCGGCACACCCTCCTCTTTGGTCGACGCTCCCCCTCCCCACCGTCCAGGCTTTACACACTTCCCGGCTGTCTGCCAAAGCTTGGGAGAAGAGGAGAAATGCGAAGGAAACTTCTGCCTTGCTGGGTGGGGGGGTGGGGGGGCTTGCACACACACACCCCCGGCTCCACCGGCACTGCCCTCATCTTTGTGCTCAGCCCAGCGGCGGCAGACACCCAGGGGGGGTTTGCTCCCCTCACATCCCCCTCGGAGGGCAGGTCGGGCTTCCTGCCTCGCCATCGACTCTTAAGAGAGTCCAGGCCCACCCAGGCATCCCAGCAGTTCTACCCGCTTTCGAAGCGGACGGCCCCCTGCTCTTTCTCAAAGAGAGTTCCCTGGCCGTTCCCACAAGGGCACAGCATGCAAGTTCAGCGAGGCAGAAGGCCCTCCTTCTTCCAACATGCGCGGGAGCCGGCCGTGTCCTTTCCGAAGCGCCAGGCAAAGGAGAGCCACGGGGCTGGCCTTGTCCGCCGCTGGGTCTTGGAGACGGCTGACTTCTTTCGCCGCAGCCTCCGCCGGCAGTAATACTTCGGTGGTGCCCTTCGCCTGGCTCCAGCCACACGGCCCTCTCTCCCCGCACTCAGCTCCTCCTCTCTCGCAGAAGCACAGCAGGGAGAGGTGCTGGGACGGGGGAGGGCAGGAGACGAGGCATCGCGCAAGCTATCCGAGCACCCGCACGGCACCCAGAGAGGTGCAGAGGCCCCAAAGAAACCAGACGTTGCTCCTGAAGACTGGAAGGTTCTGGAAGCCCACCCTCTCGAGCCTCTGCCAACGTGCTGGCTTGAAGCGAAGAGCCGGCATTGCCGCTAGAGCCAGCTGAGTCCATGTCTGCGAAGCCGTGGGCGTGGGGTCAGATGGGGCAGGAGGGGGGTCCTCCAAAGCCACCTTTTCTGAGGAAGCAAGAGGTTCGAAAGACACCTTTGGAAGGCTGCTGCCCCGCCCCCTCTCTCGTGGTGGCGAAGGCCGATTTGCGGGACAGGCGGAGGAAGAGCTGCTGGGTGAATGACGCTGGGGAGGGGAGGAAGAGGAGGGGATGGGTGGGGTGAAGCTACGTACTTGGCACAATGCTCTCCATGCGCGCAAGCTTCTGGAGGGAGACGCCCATTCAGCACTCGGTGCGTCTGCACGAACAGCTCCTTCCACGCGGGCGTCCCAGTCACGCGAGTCTCATGCCAGGAGACGAAGGAGCAGACGGGGGGCTCCCAGGGTGTCCCAACACAGGGCTGCTGCAGGGTGGGGGGCGGGACGGGGACTCCTGTCCACGATACATGCATGAGCCGTGCTGCCCCACACGCCCCTCGCCGCCTGTGCCGGCACCGTGCCCCTCACGGGGGGAAGCTACCGCAAGGAGTCTGGGATGGAGCACAGTCTCGGGTTGGGGGCGGAGGCGGGGTGGCCCTGGCCCCCCTGCTGCTGGAGCTGGAGGGCGCGTGGGGGGCAGGGGATGCCCAGCCAGGCCCGGCCGGGGGTGTCCCTGCTCCCCGCCTGGAGCTGCCCCAGGTGCGGGGGGTGCGGAATGACCAGGGAGGCCCTGCTGGCGTGGCAGAGGCAATGCAGCATCTCGCTGGGTGCGTCGACGGCAGAGGCGCGAGGGCCAGCGAGGCTCTTCGGCTTGGCAGTGACCGGCTGGGACTGCCCCAGGGGGACCACGGGGTGCGCGCTGGACGTGGGGAGCCCCGGCAGGCTCAGCCGGCGTTGGCAGTGAAGCATCTCCACGTGAGGATCCATCGCCGAGGGCGGGGGAGGCGGGGCACTCAGCTTGGGCCCCTGTTCGGAGCCGGGCGCAACTCCCTGGAGGTGCCCCTGGGGGGCCCCCGCTGGGTGTGGAGCAGGGGGAAGGGGGTCTCCGGGGAGACTCTGCCCATGGGAGGCCCCGGGGTGCGGCCCGGACGAGCCCGCCTGGTGGATGCCGGCGGCGGCCTCTCCGGCCAGGTCCTGGCGGGGGGCTGGCGTGGCCCGGTGAGCGACGGAGGCGGGATCCCCGGGGAGGGCTTGCTGGAGGCCAGGAGCGGCCAGGAGGGTGCCGGGCAGGGGGTCGGCCCCTAGGACCTGCCGGTGGGTTCTCTGGTGCGCGCGCAGTGCCGACTCGCCCTTGAAGCGCTTGGGGCAGCAGGTGCAGGCGTGGGGGCGCTGCTGCGAGTGGGTGCGCTGGTGCGCGGCGAGGTTCCCCTTCTGGCTGAAGCGCCGGCCGCAGGTGGCGCAGGGGAAGGGCCTCTCCCCCGAGTGGATGCGCCGGTGGGTGATGAGGTTGGCCCGCTGGTTGAAGCGCTTTCCGCACTCGGTGCAGGCGAAGGGCTTCTCGCCGGTGTGGATGCGCTGGTGGGTGATGAGGTTGGGCCGCTGGCTGAAGCTCTTGCCGCAGACGTTGCAGGGGAAGGGCTTCTCCGCCTGGCGGTTCCCGCGCTGCACGGGGGCCTTGGGCTCGGGGGCGATGAGCCCTTCCTGGACGGCGTGGGTGCGCTGGTGGGCCGCCAGGTTGGCCTTCTGGCTGAAGCGCTTCCCGCAGCGCAGGCAAGGGAAGGGGCGCTCGCCCGTGTGCACCCGCTGGTGGGTCAGCAGGTTGGGGCGCTGGCGGAAGCGCTTGCCGCACTCCAGGCAGGGGTAGGGCTTCTCGCCGGTGTGGATCCGCCCATGCGTGATGAGGCCCTGCTTCTGGCGGAAGCACTTCCCACACACCACGCAGGCAAAGGGCCCTGACCCCAGCCCCTGGGAGGGGCGGCCGGGACCGCAGAGGCTCGGCTCACACGAGGCCACCTCTTCTTTCTTGACGCGGGGCGGGGCGCGCAGCTGGGTGGCGTTGGGGGTCAGGAACAGCCCCGCTCGGGAGCTGTCCGGGAAGAGCTGGTAGCGCTCGAGGCTCGCCGCAAAGCCCTTCTGGCCGCCTTCCTCTTCCTTGATCGCCTTGCCACGCCCGGCTGCTCCTGGAGGTGGGGGGGGGACGACAAGGGGGGGGAGATATTCCATCAGATCTGCTCAAGGCACAGCTTTACTGGCTGCGAGGAACTGGTGCCCAACCCCGGGGTCCTGCTCCCCTGGCGCTAGAGAAAGCGCCGGGTGCCAAAGCTCCCTTTCGGCGTCCCAGTGAGCTGAAGACCCAAGGAGGGGCCTCACCAGGCAGCCATAGGCTGGCTCTCCCATCCCTCAGGGTGGCCTGCCTGGCATGGACCACAGCCAGGGCCTTTTCCGTCGTGGCTCCAGCTCTGTGGGACGGGCTCCCCACAGGAGATCTTCAGGAGGAGATTGGATTTGTACCCCGTCCTTCACTTGGGAGTCTCAGAGCGGCTTACAAACTCCTTTCCCTTCCCCTCCCCACAACAGACACCCTGTGAGGTGGGTGGGGCCGAGAGAACTCTTGACAGAAACTGCTCTTTTTCAAGGACAGCTGTGCCAGAGCTTGTGACTGACCCAAGGTCACATCAGCAGGTGCAAGTGGAGGAGTGGGGAATCAAACCCGGTTCTCCCAGATTAGAGTCCACACACTTAACCACTACACCAAACTGGCACTGCAAGGCCTGCCTGTTGGCCAGGGCCTTTGAGAGGGTTTAATTGGCAGGCATCTTTTTTTTGGGGGGGGGAGTGATGGGGGGGTATGCAGTTTTATCTTTGGTTTTAGCTGGGGATGTGTTAATTATTATCCTAAGCCGTCTTGAACCACGAAGAAAGGTGAGATATAAATATTCCAAGAAATAAAGACTGGACAGTGCACTACTGACCACCCAAATCACAAGTGGGAGCAACGTTCTTCAGCAGGGAGAACTGCAACAGGAAACAGCTGCTTCTGTGGCATCAAACCACGGAACGAACGTTTGTTAGACTGACCCAAAACCAAAGTGGAACAGCCCTGGCCACAAATCAATGGGAGGCAGAAAAGAAGCAGAACAACAGAGTGTGACGACTGCTACTTTTTTTTTGCAAGACACTGTGCATATTTAATGCTCCATTAGGATTTTTAAGATCTAGAATAGCACAGAATGTGCACAGCCTGTCCCACAGAACAGGCGCACTCGAGCGGTGGGTCTCAGCTGATTCACACAAAGCCTGCATGCCGTTCGGTGGATAGGCAGAGAAACTTTGGATCAGATCTCCACTCGGCCATGGAACCAACTGTGTGGCCCTGGCGAGTCACGCATCCTCAGCTTCCCGTGCCCCAAAGGACTACAGTCAAGTTTTTCTTTCTCTTTTTTTAAAGGAGAAGAACAGGGAAACAGTTCATGTGGCCAGGCAGGGGAAAAATTAGAAGATAAAACCAAACACACACTACACATGTAACTGCTTCTTAAGAATATGTACATGTGGCGTTCTTGCTTATTGGGGAGACAGTTTTACCTTTAAACACGCTTTGTGTACCTAAACCTGGTAGATTTCTGCTGCCACCAGGAATTAAAAATTCCAAGCCTCTCTCTCTCTGCAGGTAGTTATGACCTAGGGTCTGGGCACTTCAGAGGACTGTGTGGCCCTGAGGAAGAACTGTACTGATTGCTGGGATAAGCTTAAATAAAAACTGATTTATTTAATAAAGAATAGGTTTCTGATTATTTTGAACTGTTACTGGGGAAAAAGAACTTGTAAATATATCTGGCAAAACTTGGTGTTACAGTCACTCAGACTTCACTCTGACAGGCATAGACTCTCAGTATAATTTCTCTCTCTCTCTCATATATGTATATATAGCTAAACAGGCTAATCTCCTTGTCTTATTCACCCAGAAGAGAATCAGCTCTTATAGTCACTCAGACTAAACTGTTTGCCTTATTCACACAGAATAGAAGCAAAATTCCATAGTCACACAGACCATGCTGTCTCTTCAGACTTCACACACAGAACTCTGTCATTAAAAACAAACAAAACATCTCTCCACCCACAGTCATCAGCCAATCACACCACCCTCATCTCCCCCTATCACTCACCTTACATTACTGCAGTCAAACTCAACATTTAAAGACACACACACACCAAAACATGGAATAATTACAGTACACATTTCTCTTTTAAAAACAGCTGCCTCAAGAACAATTTTGGGGCGAGAGCAGCAGGCAAAGGTTTCAAAGAAACAAGACGTAAGTCCGTCCATACCTTCATGCCTCTGGGAAAGAGCAAAATGCAAGCAAATCAGAGAGAGAGAGAGAGAGAGAGAGAGAGAGAGAGAGAGAGAGAGAGAGCGCGGAAAGAGAAAAATGCACGCAAATCAGAGAGAGAGAGAGAGAGAGAGAGAGAGAGAGAGAGAGAGAGAGAGAGAGAGACCGACCCTCTGGCCTGTGAGCTGCCTCCCGAGAGACACTTTCCCCCACCTTGGCAGGAGCCGGTGCACAGCTTGCCTTCCTCCACCTTCTGACGGTCTGCAATGCCCAGCTCTTCCCACCGCTCAATCCAAGACAAGCCTTCGGGTTTGAAAAACCGGTAACCTGATGCGGGGATGGAGAAGGTCTGGTTAGCCGAGGAGGAGGCAACTGCTGACCCCGGTGGGGCAAGCAGAGAGCGGGTGAAGGAGGAAGAGGAACAGGAAACACCCCTCAGGGCAAAGATACTATTATGGGGGAAAGAACCCAGCCAGAGAGACACAAAGCAGCAGGAGGGACAGGACAGGCCGGGAGCCCTTCCACACTTCCAAGAGGGAAGCACAAGAGCTCAGCGGCAGCAAAAATCCCGAACTGCAAACTGTCCAGACGTAGCTCAAAGTCTTTCACTCCTTCCGCCATTTCAGTACATCATCAGACCAGACCTTTAAAGCCCTACGTGGCTTGAGACCTCCTTCTCCCACCTGCTCCTGCCTGGGAATTAAGAGCACAGGGAGAGGCCCTCCTTGCTGGGGACATGAGAAGAGGGCCTTTTGGGTGGCAGCCCGATTATGGAACCTCCTCCCCAGGGAGGTGTGCCTGATTCCTTCCCTTCCAGTGTCTAGGAGACCGCTGAAGACGGATTTATTTAGGACTGCATTTGATTTTAAAAAGGCCTAAATCAGGGGTGTCAAACATGCGGGGCTTCTATCAGGCCCACAGTGGAACTGGCCGTCTTCTGCTTCTTCTTCCAGTTCTGCGGCTGCTGCATCATTGTAGGTTTGCAGCTTACAGATACACCCCTGAACAGCATACTCAGGATTGCAGCAGCACAGACATTTTGATGCAATAATTCAGAGCAAGAGGTGTCAGTTATCAGACACTGTTCAATAAACAAAATATGGCAAGAGTGCTATATGTTTTAAGCGTGTTTTTTATATTAAGTAAAAAAAAACCTCTGTGTCTGTGTCCTTTACAAAGTTTAGATCTCCGCTACCTGGCATTGCGTTTTATGACACACGTGGCCCGGCCCAACAAGGTCTCATTTATGTCAGAACCGGCCCTCATAACAAATGAGTTCGACACCCATGGCCTAAATTCTAATTTTAAGATTTTGGTTTTATGCATATTCTATATTATGGATGTTATTTATACTGGAAGCTGCCATGAGCTCTGGTGTCCTCCCTCTCAGTCTTTAGGAGGAAGCTGAAGCCGGTTTTATTGAGGGCCACCACATTTGCTACCAGTCCTGAACTGCGATTTTAAATTTTATGTTTATATATTTTTATCTATGTTGCAATCCCCCCGAGCTCCGTAAGGAAGAAAGGCAGCCAAAGAAGTTTTAGCTAAATGAACAAATTTTGTACTTCGTTTCTGTTAATAATTCAATCTGCAATCGAGGCAGAGCCTATTTTTCTACTTTCTATACAGCAGGCATGTAGTGCATGTCCAACTTTGAACAGGTAGTGATCTATTTTTTTCCAGCCAAAAGTGCCGGTGATCTACCACCATGAAAATAAAGTTTCAAATTAGTTTCAAATTAGATTTTAACCCACTAAAGTTGGGTTCCACCGTCCGTCCCCGTGAGGTAGGCGGGGCTTTCAAGAACAGCTCTGACAAAACTACGGCTTGCCCAAGGACTTCCAGCAGCTCCAAGTGGAGGAGTGGGGAATCAAACCTGGTTCTCCCAGATTAGAGTCCGCGCACTTAACAGACTGGCTACATCTGGTAGAAACACAGCATTTATTCCTGCTACCAGTGATCACACACCTACAGGCTGTCCAAGAGCAACGCAGCAGGATTTCTGGGGGAAAGTTGCGTGCCTTCTCTCCCGGCGTAACCTGAAGATACTGGAAGGCAAAACAAGACTTGGAGGGATCCCCTTCCACCCAACTGAAGGCTGAGCCTAGCGTGACAACGTGGGGGCCCAGAGACAGGCCTACAGACCTCCTGCTCCCAGGGTTCAACCGTGGCAATAGGACCAAGCGTGGGACCTGGCCCACTGGCTCACCTGGGCAGGGGTCTTGCGGGATCCCTCTGGCAGAGTCCAGCTGATCACCAAGGCATGGCTCTCCGGCGCGCTCAATCCGAGACAGGAGGTCGGGTTTGAGAACCGGGTAGCCTGGACAGCAATACAGAACCCAGACTGATCACCATTGCCCGAGACAAGGAGAAGGGCCCAGTGCCCTCGGGATGCCTGCCTAACGGGCACCTGCTGGGGCAGCCAGGTGGGAGACAAGCAGCATGCCAGAGGCTCCAGGGTCCTCCTTTCCCCCAAATCGTCCCATCCCAAGCCAAGGCCTCACTCAGGACAGCCCACACTGCCGCTGCTCACCTTGGACCGGATATTGACATGCCAACCACCACTCCTGTTCTGACAGCCCCAAACCAAGAGTGTGAGGCACTCCAAAGGGATCTGTCGAGAATGGGAGAGTGGGCGTCAACGTGGAAAATGGGGTTCAGTGTGGCCAGGTGCAAAGTGAAGCACAGTGGAGCCAAAAATCCTAACTATAAATACACATTGATGGGGTCTGAACTGGCAGAGACTGACCAAGAGAGGTATCTTGGAGTCGTAGTAGATAACTCACTGAAAATGTCAAGACAGTGTGCAACTGCAATAAAGAAGGCCAATGCTATGCTGGGGATTATTAGGAAGGGAACTGAAAACAGATCAGCCAGTATCATAATGCCCCTGTATAAATCGATGGTGCAACCTCATTTGGAGTACTGTGTACAGTTCTGGTCACCACGCCTCAGAAAGGATATTATAGCATTGGGAAAAGTGCAGAAAAGGGCAACTAGAACGATCAATGGGTTGGAACACTTTCCCTATGAAAAAAGGTTAAAGCGCTTGGGGCTCTTCAGCTTGGAGAAATGACAGCTGAGGGGTGACATGATCCAGGTTTATAAGATTATGCCTGGGATAGAGCAGGGAGAGAAAGAAGTCCTTTTCTCCCTTTCTAACAATACAAGAACTTGTGGGCACTCCATGAAATTGCTGAGCAGTTGGGTTAGAATTGATAAAACGAAGCCCTTCTTCACCCAAAGAGTGATTAACACATGGAATTCACTGCCACAGGAGGTGGCAGCAGCTACAAGCATGGACGGCTTCAAGAGGGAACTGGATCAACATCTGGAGCAGAGGTCCATCAGTGGCCATTAGCCACAAGGGATAGATAGGAACTCTCAGGCTGGGGCAAGGGATGCTCTTAATTCTTGGTGCTTGGGTTGGGGCAACAGTGGGAGGGCTTCTGGTGTCCTCCTGGCCCCACTGGTGGACCTCCCGATGGCCCCTGGTGTTTTTGGCCACTGTGTGACAGAGTGCTGGACTAAATGGGCCACTGGCTTGATCCAACATTGGCTTCTCTTATGTTCTTACGTCTGGGGAAAGGGATGCACTGTATTGCAGGGCGGGGGGCCACAGTGGAAGGGTTTCTAGTGTCCTGCCCCCACCGATGGACCTCCTGATGGCACCTGGTATTTCTGGCCCCTGTGTGACCCAGAGTGTTGGACTGGATGGGCCATTGGCCTGATCCAACATCGGCTTCTCTTATGTTCTCCTGCAGCAATTCCCAATGGGGGGAGGGCGTTCCTCTCACCTGCACTGGACAGGGAAGCGCTAGCTTTGCCCCACAGGCACCAGATTGCAGCTGCTCAGGGGAAAGGAGAGCTCCCGTGGGTCTTCCGTGGCAGACAACTGGTCTGCCCTGGGGACAGAATGCCCCACTTGAGCACAGCCAATGCAAAGAAGGTATCAAGCCCTCCCAATTCACTACCAGTGGGTGAAGGAAGCCGCCTCCTCGCCAGACCCCAGACTCACAGCTGCCGCCACCCACCCACCCATATACCCCCCCACATTTCCCAAACGAAGCCAAAGACATTTTACCCAGGGAAGTGACCAGCTCGTAGTTCTCCATCACCACATCCACCAGCTTCTTGCGGATTCTCCAGGGGCTCCTCCGGGGAGATGCAGTCCAGGAGGGGCTCAGGCATCACCTGCAGCAACACACAGGCCTGGTCAACACAGCCTCTCGTGCGCGGGATGGGCACAGACCACAGCAACCAGACCTCAACAGGCTGAGGGTCATGTAGCGCAAATCCAGAACCTCACCGTTGAGTCAGGGGAAGGAAGACTGGCTGCCTCCTTCACAGGCCGAAGGAAAGACCAAAGAGAGGCACAACCCACACTTCCCGTTCTCCATTGGAAAGCCGCTGTTTTATGTGCCAAGACTGGGATGCGAATGAGGGGAAACTGCTCCCCCAAACACACGCACACACATCTAAATAAATAAATAGCATACATGCAGAGAGATAGAGACAGACAGACTCACACACAGAGCCAATCCCACCTGCATCACTCTGCAGGTCCCGGAGGGGGGGACGAATCAAACAAACTGCACTAAACTGGACCCCTTGGGGCAGACAGCGAGGTGAAGAGGCAGGAGGTAGTGCAGGGAAGCTCCACCCCATGGTTTACACCTACCCCTACCCCATCCTACCTGGGCTGCACCCCCTGTAGGCATTTCCTGGTCCAGGTGTCCAAGGAGGGAAGAAGAACATGTTTCACCTCAGCAACCGAAAAGGCCGATGGGATTCGCCTCCTGGGCGTGGCTATCTGAATGGTCCTTCTTCCTGCTTATCTTTGCTGTGCTTTCTGAAAGCCCCTGCACCAACCGGAAAAGCGAGAGGGAGTTAGAGGAGGGGGCTGGGGCAGTGCAATTGGAGCAAGGGTGACCAGCCTGTATATTCTTCTTGCCTCCCTGCAGAGCCTGCTGCTGTTGCTCCACTGCTCCGAAGAGCACCAGACTCAGCCCAGGGAAGAATTACCTGAGCACATAATCAGCATCTTTCGCCGGTGCTAGAGACCCCGAGGCCTGAGGAACAGCAGGCTGCTCTAACGCTTACGCAGGGATCAGGCCCAACAAGAGACACCTTCTCATCATGCTTCACAGAAATGCCACCTGCACCTCTTCTGGATCTGGGGGGAAGAGACATGCTAAACCCGTTGCAATGAGAGCCAGAGTGAAAGCTATGACCACACGGAGTCAGCCCTATGTGAAGCAGGAATCGGGAAGACGGGCTTCTCCCATCTCAAAAGGGGTATTGCAGAGCCAGAAAAGGGAGGCCAGAGTTATCCCCTACAGTGAGGAAACTAAGGAGCCTGGGGCGCTTCAAGAAAAAGAGCGCGGGGGGGGGGGGGGGAGAAACACCAAAATGGTATATAAAATTATGCAGGGTGTAGAGGAAGTAGAGGGAGATGTTTCTCCCTCCCTGTAAACACAAGAACTTTGGAACTTCTGAAGGAATGGATGGGCCACACATTCAGGCCCAACAAAAGAACACAATTCATTACAGTGATGTGGAGTGGAAAACTTTCTGCAACGGCAAGTTTTCCAATGGTATATTTTACTGTGGGAAATTTTCCGCCCTGCAGATGTAAATACAGTCGCTGTCAGGGTGGTTGTGCTGCAAATCAGTCGTGTTAGATGGGCTACATGTGAGATATAAAGCAGGGACAAACTCCAGCGCATATACGTAGCCCAGACTTCATATGCTGTACATTCTGCAGTATTTTCACATTATTTAAATTTGTCTTAATGTTATTTAAATTATAATCAGAAAATTTCCCAAGGCAAGTTCCCCCCCTCCCCAAATCCTCATCACAGATCCATTATGCTGCCCCCAGCCGTCATCCTCTTCCAAGGAGAAGAGGCGCACTGACCCTCTGACCTTTGCCAGTCAGTAGCTGGGAGCCAGGAGGGCTAAAGGCAACCTTCACGTTTGGCTCAGCGCAGGCTGCAGTGGGCGGGGCAATAAGGGGGGGGGACTCCGTAGGGCTTCTGGTGGGCTGCCCCGGTTGGAAACAGGATGCTGGACTGCAGATGCCCTGATCTGCAGAGCTCTTTAACATTCCTAGGCCTCAAGTCACTCTCTTCCTGTACAGAAAGTTCCTTCCTCAGCTGACTGTGACCCAGACAGAAGATTCCTGCAAGCTTTCCCCACAACCAGCCAACTCATTCCTTTCTTTTGCAAACCTGGCTCACGTTCCTGGAAGACATTATGAGTTATTCAAGACTGTGCGCATGATAGGATTCTGCACAAACACGAAAACTGGTCCCAGGGAAGCCTAATAGTCACTTCTTTCCTAACGAGAAAGTTGCTAGGCCTTAAAACAGCAAGTGTCAACTTGAAGCCGAGTGAACAGAGGCCAGTGAATCCTTGAAGCCCATGACCTGGCAAGGGGGCAGAGAAGGGGACTTCAGTGCCCCGCAAAATCCCTTGCACCTCTGCATGGCGATGTAAATTAAGCTGGCCGTCTTGGAATGGAGCCGTCTTGGAAAAAAATCACAGACCCTGACCGGGATAGCCCGGGCAAGCCTGATCTCGTCAGATCTCGGAAGCTAAGCAGGGTCGACTCTGGCAAGTCCTTGGACGGGAGACCTCCTTGGAATACCAGAGGCAGGGGTGGGCTTTACACTTTACGCAGCCACCGCTCTGAATATCCTCCAGGCCCCCAGCAGGGGTCAGTCGCCAGAGGTCGACGTGACTTCCAGAGACACACACATGCACATATGAAAAAATGAATGAATAAATAAAACACAAACATATCCTCCAGGCCCCCAGCAGGGGTCAGTTGCCAGAGGTCGACGTGACTTCCAGAGGCACACACATGCACATATGAAAAATGAATGAATAAATAAAACACTAAAAATAAAGATCACAGCACATTCGCTGGCCTGGATACAGCTTTATTACTTCTCGCTCTCTGGGACAGGGAATGGAGCCCAGGCCTCTGTGCCCACCCAGAGAACACGCCAGGCTGACTGCCGTAAAGGAACAAGGGCTGCTTGTTTGGCCAGGTGGGGCCCGCCAGCAAGGCTAATTTGGGGCTTCAGAAGGAGAAGCAGCTTGGATAGCCACGGGCCACTTCTCTCTTACATTCCCTCAGCCTTTGCCAGTTCCACTCTCTTGCCTTCCATTGACGCTTCCAGGAATCCACAAGGCCAGCGCTTCGACCTCCTTCCCCCCAAGTCCACTCACCAGCCGGGCTGGAAGCTCACCCTCACCCCCAGCTCCACCAACACAGCAAGCTGCATAGAAGGCCAACCAAGATGGGGGCTGGGTGAGGACCTACCCCGGCACAGCTCCATTCCAATACGGCCTTGTCTGGGGGAGGAGGGGGCAGTCTCGCCACTGAACAGCTTTTCCCACACGTTCACCACAAAGTCTAAGGGCCAGCGCACAGCCACAGAAACAAGTCAGCCAAGCAGGCCTGCACCGAGGCAGCCTAAAGCAGATATGACCAGCTAATCTACAACTGGGGAAAGCCGAAGAAGAGCCACCTAAGTTATCTCTCTTTCGGATGAGAACGTCAGTTTTTGCACTCAAACCCTCATCACCACGAAGGTGCGTGCAATTAGCCACAGCTGCTGTAAGACCTGAACTGTCAAGGTGGGAGGTCCAGGCCACACCCGAGAGCGTTTAAGAGATTATCTAGAAGCCAAAAATATGCCCAGAGAAATAAATGCGGAGAAACAGCCAGCCAAGACTCAGGTTCCGTTTCTCAACACCACTGTACTTCCAGACAAGCTCCAGCAGTGCGCATGCACACATGCACGCACACACACACCAGCTGGACGAGCTGCAGCCCTCCAAGCCGAAGCCCTTGCAAGAGAAACAAGCAGCAGACCCAGAAATATGAACAGCCATTCCCCCACCCATCCCCAGTGGCCACAAAGCTCTTTCTGAGCTTCGCTGTCCAGACCAAGGCTCCCTCTAAGCTACGGAGTCCTCTGAGCAAAAATTCCACTTTGTGAGCTGCTGGCATTAAAGTTGCGAGTGAGAGATTTGGTGACTGCATAACTCAGTTGGCTCTGGAGCCCTCCTCCCTGAGCCGAGACAAAAACGTGTGAGCTGGAGGCTCAAAAACTGTGAGCTGGCTCACACTGACTCCGCTTAGAAGGAACCCTGGCTGGGATCCCAGTTAGTTACGTGGGGTTATCACAGCCAGAGATGAACAGAGGTGGTTTGCCCTGGTCCAATGCCTCCCTCTGAGCTCTGGAGTCTTGTGAGCAAAAATTCTAGTTTGTGAGCTACGGCTGGCGTTAAAGTGGAGCCCTCCTCCTTCCTGAGCGAAGGCAAAAATGGGTGAGCCGGAGGCTAAAACCCCGTGAGCCGGCTCGCACTCACTCAGCTGAGAGGGAACACTGAGTCACCAGGACCCTGGGGGGGAGTCCGGCCCGCCCGGAAGCGCCACCCCCTCCGGAGGCACTCCGGCCCCCTTCCCGGGGGGTCCCCACCACGCCTCCCGCTGACCTCACCTCCGC